AATTGGTCATCCATATTTAACAATAATCCGTAAAACCAATGAGTTGTCCTTGGCGCCAGTAGCAACATCTGGGAAAATTATCGACATTAGGTAGTTTTCCGTCGGGTTTTTGTTGGCCTGAGGCTCAAAAGTTTGCGATAATGGTCCCCAAAATCAGTTTTGTCCCCCGGGTTGTCCTAGTTGTCTCGAAACGACAGTTTATAGAAGCCACAACCAATGGACACACTAATTGACACACATTTCGTGTGCTGTATTCGTTTTAGTCAGTATTTTCCTGTCGTACAACCATGTTTGTTTTGGGTCTGTTCCTATGAAACTCAGATATTACTAATGTGCATTGTGTGATTCGCTTTAATCGGAATCCGACTTTCGTCACCCATAAGTGTTTATTGTTGCGTCACGTTGGGTTAAATCACGGCTGATGAGTGGAAAGTTTGGTGTTGTCTAAAACATGAATTCGATGGTTTTTTTAGCAACCACGAATCACCTTACGTTACACTGCGGTTTCATCATATTAGGGAAGCGCTTTCGGGCTCCGCAATACTGTAGCCCAGTGTGACCTGCTGTACAAAACAGGTTTCAGAAAATTCAACAAAGAACATTGACGTACCAACAACATTTGCTGTTAAGTCCAAAGCACCGAAATTGCTAGGCAATGTGAGTGGATAAATTTATGCTACTCGGTGAGATCAAGTATTTGGAATAAACATATTCAAATCTATCTTGGTCAAATTCGTTCGTCTGCTCGTCTATCATTTGCGTGGGGTTATTTGAGAATCCTTTTAAAAATATTATATGAACAGCCGCACATAATGAGTGCGACTGTTTCCATTCTTAAGATTCAGTGGGTAATAATTTATTGCCACTGAATTTCGCCACAATGTGGTCATTTATCTTGGCACAGAACGAACGACAGACTCGGATGTATTTTCGAAGTCAAGGGATACCAGGTTTGCACAGCTCCGGTGAGCAGGTCAATGTTCTGAACGTTGACTGAATGTGGAACTGTGGTCAGCATTTCTACTCTTCCAGAGTAGAATCATGCTTGCTCTTTTTGGGATAACGCATCGAAATGCTGTTGGGATAACTGATACTCCACCAAATATGGAAAATGCTAGGCAGAATACGGCAAGTAGAATTGCGCGTACATTCCCCATAGGAACGAAATTCAAGTAGAAGAATCACGAGAATCGAGGAGGAGGGGACTGCGGTCGCGGACGCTAGGCAGTCAATGGCGGGCTCCGTTAGTCGATATCGACCGCCTGAGGAACACCCATAGGATGCAAGATGGGCGAGAATCGAAAAGAGTAGATGAGACGCAGATTCGTAAGGCGTATGAGACACCGAAAACGCGGCCGCCCAGACATGCTGCAGAACCAGACCTGACAGAGGTAAAGGAAAAGCGATGGCATGCGAACGACCTTTAAAGGGCGAATGTGTGTAACGGTGATACTATTGATTGGGAGGCATGCAGTTTGTAAGTTCTATTCTTGTAAACGCGCTTGAATAAAGGATCTTTTCGGAATTCGTCGACTCACTTTTTCCCTGTGTTCGAATCTGTCCAACGTTCAATGAATATCCGGGACCGTTCAGCAAGACACGTTTAGGTCTTCTTCAGTTTTTTTAAGATGCATATGTCAGATTTGCCTTCCTGTCCAATATTCTGTAACTGGTCAGTTGGTATTTTGCACAAAACTACTCCACACGAAAGGTCTAAATTCTGTCACTGATATCACTGATATCCGCATTAATGTCCGCGTGGACCAAAGGACTTTTAAACGTGCTCATTAAGCCAGCAAGTGCGTGAAGACAATTTTGCGGACTCAGGATGCTGCTCAGCACTGCCTGAAGCGCATGAGTGCTCAACAAATTACTAGAAAACACCACGAATCACCACTGTGCACATATTGTTGGGATAGATTTGCACAAGTGACCAGTCATTGAACAAGCTGATCAAAATGGTCGATCACACCCTGATTAGAATAAACTTTGTGCTGCAGACCTATTAGATTTGTGGTGGATAACTTTTTTTAACATTATTGCCATACATTTGTAAGGCAAAGTTCGATTCCTAGTAGACGAACAGTATAAAATTCTAGGCACATGAATTATCAAGGAAGCCTGAATACGATGCGTCCTTGTTCGCTTCTTATTGCTTTCTTGTTCTGCATCGACCACGTCGCACGGTTGGTAGCCGTCGGTGTCCACAATTGGTCATCCATATTTAACAATAATCCGTCAAAGAACTGGGTTGTCCTGGTCGCTGGTTCTTTCATGTGGGAAAATTATCGACATCAAGTAGGTTTCTGTCGTAATTTTTGTTGGCTTGAGTCTGAAACTTTCATTTAAATTCCTGTAATACATGCTCATGAATGTGGAAGCTTGTGATAATAGTCCCCCAAAACCGTATTGTCTTACCTAGTTTTCTCCATGGCTGTGATATTACACTGGGAATGGCGGCAGATATAAGCCACATCCAATGTACACGCCGATGAACACACTAGTGGACACACGTTTCGTGGTCTGTATTCGTTTTCGTCAGTAGTTCCATGTCGTAAAACGATATTATGTTTTGGGTGAGGTTCGTTCTCCGGTCCCAATAAACTCGGATGTTACTGAGCCGCATAGTGTGTTTCACGTTAATCGGAACCCGACTTTCGTCGCCTATAAATGTTTATTGTGGCTTTAGGTTACGAAAAATCACGCTCTGTGAGTGAAAGGTATGGTGTTGTATAAAACATGAATTCGATGATCTTCCAGCCACCACCAATCATCTGACCTCACATTGTAGACTGATTATATTAGAGTAACGCTCACGAGCTCCGCAGTCACGTAGTCTAGACTTGCCTTTTGTATAAACCAGGACTCCGAAAACTCAACAAGGACCACTGGCGTACCAACAGCATTGGCTGTTACGGTCAAAGCACCTAAATTGCCAGGCAATGTAAGCGGATAAATCTATGCTGCTTCTTGAGATCAAGTTGCGTGTATTTGGAAGAAACATATACAAATCCATCTTAGTCAAATTCGTTCGTCAGCTCGTCTAGCATTTACTTGGTGTTATATGAGAATCGTAATGAAAGCTTTACACATAATCAGCGCATGTGTATCCTTTCGTAAGATTCAGTGGGTAATAATTTATTGCCGCATGATATTCGCCGCATGATTCGCCTATCTACCTGGAACACAATCGAACGACAGATTTGGACGTATTTTCGAAGCCAATGGATACCAAGATCGTACAGATTCGGTGAGCAGGTCGTTGTTCGGACACTTGACTGAATTTAGTACTTCAGTTCACAAAAGCTCTTCCGGAGTAGAATACTGCTTACTGTTTTCGGGATAATGCATCCAAATACTGTTGGGATAAATGATACTCCACCAAGTATGGATTATCCCTTACACTCTGCATGCCTTCTTTGATCTCCATTCCTAACAATGC